CCCCAAACCAAAGCCCGCCCTAAACCCCCAAACTCCAAGCCCGGAATCCCAAACCCCAACCCCTAAACCCCAAACCCCAAGCCTTGAACCCTAAACCCTAAACCCTAAAACCCAAACCTCAAACCCTAAACCCCAAACCCTAAACCCTAAAGCCTAAACCCCAAACCTCCAACCCTAAATAAACCCTAAACCCCAAACCCCAAACCCTAAATCCTGAACGCTGGGACTCCAGGAGTCTCTCTGCCGAAGGTGCAATGCCCAGGGGCTGCGAGTCCCGCAATGCCAGGCCCAGTACTTTGCCCAGGGCCTCACAAGGAAAGACAAGGAAAGGTTTAGGGTTTAGGGTTTAGGGTTTAGGGTTTAGGGTTTAGGGTTTAGGGTTTAGGGTTTAGGGTTTAGGGTCTGGGAAGGATCTGGGTGGTTGTCAAAATTATGGTCCCTTTTTGAGTCCGTAATATAATACGGCACCTAATATTTAGGGTGCCCAGAAAGGGACCCTGATTTTGACAACCACCCAAAATTTAAATCTTTATGGACTTAAACCCTATATAACCCCAAACCCTGAAGTTTTAGGGTTCAGAGACCCTAAACCCTAAACCCTAAACCCTAAACCCTAAACCCTAAAACCTATATAAGGGATTTTGGTGAACTGTAAGAGCTTCCCCCAGAGAGAACCCTGAAACATGCGTGGAACCTTTGTGCTACTATACTTTAGGGTTTAGGGTTTAGGGTTTAGGGTTTAGGGTTTAGGGTTTAGGTGCGACTATATAAGCTTTAGGGTTCAGGGCTATAGAGTCTTGAGAGGGAAACCACCCAACACAGGGCACAAGGTGTCCTGACTTTGGATAGCAAAAGAGTAGGGGCCCTACAGTTGACATGGTGGCGGCTTCTAACAGCAAGGGGTATTCTACATAACGGCCCTTATTTGGGATTTCTTTTGAATCTCGCACTGTTCTTGTGGTGGGCCTTGTACGCTAAGTCAGGGAGCTTGAGCCATGCCACAAGCTCTTGGGCCTCTTGGGGCAGGCAATGACATTGGCGAGTATTTTGCCTTCCCCTACGAAGCCAACCGAAGTGCTCTGCTCACTTCTAAGACACCGCACAAGACTATGATCTCATGGTGATCGTGGTTACAGGTACTGCGGTTGGCAATGCGACAACTGTTGTTGTCATAGAGGTACCAGGAATGATACATGTACCCACATCGCGTCCGAACAAGTTCACCTCATGAAAGAACTCTGAACTCTGAAACCCTGCACGACTCACAAGGCTAGACCCCTGAATCACTGAACACCTCTCCCCTGATCACCGCCCTAACCCAAACGCCTAAAGTTCTAAAGCCCCAGAAAGGTCAGAAACTCCCGCAGCCTCCAGTTGCTGCGGATCTCCGCCCGGCTTGAGCCGGGCAAATGCCGTCCCGTCTACAAGACCTCAGTCTCTAGGCGGGTTTCCAGGGCATTGAGGGTTCTGCGGATGTGTCGGATTTTGGCGACTAGGACTAGGGGTTTACGGGTTTATGGTTTAGTTTTGGGGGTTAGGGGCGTAAGATCTAAAACAAACGGGAGTGTACCTGTCGCACAGCTGTCAGAATAGCCGATGGCTGATTCAGCAGTGAAGTCGGAATGACATGAGCCTGAACGTCAGGATCTCCACAGAACAACTAGCATCTTGTGCAATGGCCCTGTGGCAGACAATAAAGCGCAACAACTCAACTGAGTCGTAACCTGACGATCGCAGCTTCGATGTAAGCAACCAACAGATCGTAGGTGACCAAGGACAAATAATCAAGGACGGGCTGGCGCGACTACGAATACAAACACAAATACAAGAACACTGACTTATCCTGAATACTGAACCCGATAGTACCTGCATAGGAACGGTCACTACTTAGCAACCCTTAAAGGGACGTTTAACAGGAACCCTGCTCCTCTAAACCTTTCAAGACCCAAAGAGAGCCCCTCAGACGAGACAGAGCCGAGTGTCCATGCTCCACCAGCCCCTGCTCTCGCGACACCAGGCCCATGGCGACCTGACAGATTCCCGAGACGAGCGGGGGGAGAGGGGCGGGTTTAGCACTGTAGAGGTTTAGGGATGTAAGGGTTGGAGAGTTCTGGGGTCCCCCAAACGGTCGTAAAGGGGTTCCGCAAGGGGTCTACAACTGCGACTATAGAGAGTCCATCCGGCTATCACTGGTAATCTTGTACTTGTCAGAACCCTTTCACTACCCTTACTTTGAATGGTACTGCTCTTACGATCACCTATGACGCATACCAGGCTTTTTGATCTCATACAGTCTTATTGCTACTATTGTCATTCATTTTGGTAGTGATAAGCCCTCGTGGTCGTAGTCGTAGACGCAGTATGAGTACGATCAGCCTTTCTTGAAGGCTGTACGTCTCAGGCGAGAACAGTTTAGCAAGGGCTCAACCAGTGATGCAGAGTCAATGTCATGCATGCAAGCGAGCTTGATCGCAACATCCAGATGTAAACGCCAGACCCTAAACCCGATCTGCTCAGTGTTTCCTGTACATCCGTGCCTCGTTGAGCCAATCGCGGCACAAGCCTGCCAACGTCGGAGGCAGAGCAAACTAACCTGTACCCTAAATCGTAAACTACAAATCCTTAGTCTTAAACCCTGAATCCGCGAACACCGAACCCCAAAACAACCCAATGTACACACCAGAAAAAACCCTGACAAACCACCCTAAACCCTAAACCCCTACACCCCTAAACCCCTAACCCCTAAACCCTAAAGCCCTAAAGCCCTAAACCCCCTTCAACCCCTAAAACCCCTAATCCCTAAACCCTAAACCCAAAGCTCTAAACCCTAAACCCCCAAACCCCTAAAACCCCTAAAACCCCCAAACCCCAAAACCCCGTAAAACCCCTTAAAACCCCTTAAAACCCCTAAA